TTCAGCTCCTTCAGCTTAAGAAATGCTGAGCGAGTTCGGCCCCTTTTATTTTCTGACTCCAGCTCTTTGCACATTTCATTATAGTATCTGGCTTTGTCATATTGGGCTGCCTTTGAAATTTTCTATTTAGCTTTTTGATTTCTTGGTTTCTTAGTTCTATGTTATAGTCTCTTAAAAACAGCTTGCATCCCTGATCCTGGAACCATAGTATCTTATAAGGGGGAAAACCAAATTCAGATTTGTGGAAAAATTGCACACTGGCCCCAGGATCCTCACTCACTCCTCTTCTCTGACCCCCGGGAATGTAGGAATCTCTCTAGTTGTGTTCTCCTCTGCCTCTCTCACGATGAGTGAGCACACATTCATAAAGGCGTGCGATCGAGCTCATTTGTCTTTCACTTCTCCTGGCTTAGGTAACAATGATTCCCATTGCTTTTTCTAGTTCTCTGTCAAACCATTACTCTGGTTGCAAGATGATACGCAACTTGTTGTGTCTATTAATACATTTCTTGACCAACTGCTATATCCTGTGGGGTGTAAAGTATGTTCCTCAGTCTGAGAAAATATAATTTTGTGTCCAAAATTGGGACAGTACCTTTTTCTCCAAACCTTTAATGTGCTTTTGGCACATGCATTTGTTGCAAGATATCCAAAAGCTAGTCCAGAGAAGCTGTTCCTGGGAGGCCCCATTTGTAGTGAATAGTGCTATGAGTAACATTTGCCCAATGTAATTGATTTGCCAAACAAGTGCAGGGTCTTCCCCAGGGGACACACATAGTCCAAGATCATTTGCATCTGCTTTCTGGCTGACAGATAGTCTTTACTGGGATTTTATGTCTCAAAGGATACAAAAGGCCCATGTTTAGTTTCAGCCATCTCTCCTTGATACCACATCCCCATGTCCACTTATTTCATTAACCCAGTTGGCCACCTCAATGGAGTGAACCAACATGCCCATCTGTTAATTTCAATTGCAAAGATCCAAGTATGCCACAGCAGGGCCTCACCAAGTTCATGAGGAGACATGATCCAGGAAGAAGCCATTTGACATTAGCAATGACGTACCTGGTGCAATGGTCTCTTCTAAATCCAGCTTCTATTTCTGGAAGTTCTCTCTCTGTATGTGTACTGTTCTAGCCAGTGTTGGATGATCTCCAACAACATTTTCCTGCATGTAATATCACCACTGGGCTGATTGGCAGCATTATGATAGTGAAGAGATGGAAATTGTTAACAATCAACACAATCAACACTCTTGGTACCAGGATCCAGGAGAGCAAGAGATGAATTGTATTGGGAAAGTCCACTTTCAGTGACCGCTCCAGAGTACTGAAGGGAAACGGCATTCGTTTGGAGACTAAGGTACACTTGATCCAGGCCATAGTCTTTGCAATTGCTTGCTATTTTTCAGAGAGCTAGGCAATGACTACAGATGAAGAAGAATTGATGCTTTTGAGCTGTGGTGCTGGAGTAAAGTATTGAATATACCATGGACTGCTAGGAGAACAAACAGGTTCATACTAGAGAGGGTGAGACTAGGGTGCTCCTTGGAGGCAAGGATTCTGAGGCTTCATCTGACATACTTTGGGCATTTTGCTAGGAGGGACCAGTCCTTGGAGAGGGAAGTTATGCTTCGGATGGTGAAAGGACAGCACAGGAGAGGAAGACCCCAGGTTAGATTGACTAATACAATAACTGGGTTCATGGGGATAGGTGAATTGCAGTCACTGAGACTGGCTTGGGACACTGCAGACTTCAGAGCTGTTGTACATAGCGTTGCTATGAGCTTCAGGTGACTCAACAGCACATAACAACAACATATATGTAAATATGCACTTAGATATACCTGTATATCCTCTCTCTATGGTGAAAGTTAACATCTTTGGTACAAAGAGTCAGGATATCAGGAGGATTTGTACCAGACAAGTCCATTGTTAAGGATCTCTCCAAATTACTGAGGAGTAATGATATCAGTTAGAAGATTAATGTGCGCTTGATTTT